CCCGCTTAACACGTCTCCCTCCAATACGGTCCACAGCCTTCGGCAGTGCGAACCTCCCTTATTGCGTGTGTGGAAATGGCTCTTGAGATTACCCAGGTGTGGAATACAACGGCACATGTCGGCAAGCAAATGCTGGACCAGAGTGCAGGTGGTTGTCGGTGTACATTGTACTGTTTTGGTTGCTGCAGCATGTTAAGCTTCTTGGTAATGGTGCAGCGTCGCTGTGGTAGTGAAAGCTTGAAAGGGCACTGAGGTCTGAGTGCAGTGAGAAATATGTAGATACAAGGAAACTACCATTGATTTGGAAAAAATGCAGATGACTTTTTGTGTGCTGGTTAAATAGTTGTGTTGTGTGTTGGGATGCAAACTAATGATCTGCCCTTGTTGCTCTCATAAGGATGACCATACAACTTAAGGAGTAAACCCTTACGCAGTTTTAAAATTGCATCTTTTTTCTTTACTGACATCACCAGCTAATTGACCAAAATCCATAACGTGTAAGGGAGAATGTTGTGTCCTACTATGCATCTGGGATTCCAGCAACCTACTATATCCTTGAGTGAAGCACTGGAATTTTTTACGATCTGTACCTTCAAACAAACCAGGAAAGAAGCTGAAACCTCTGTAAATTCTGTTAAAGCTGAAAAAAGCATAACTTGAAAGTTTGCCCCTGAGATTCTCTCTGACATATTACATAGAATCTGTTGTAGAACAGAATTTAAAGCACATAGTGAAAAGATAATTTCTTTTTAAAAATAGTACAGCAAAAGGAAATGGATAGTTTATCATTTTGCATGCATTGTGAGAGGTGATGCATTAAATTTTTCATCAATGAGAGCACGTCAAATAATTGATAAACAAAAGTGCTTTTCTGTATTCAAGGTGTTAAGAGATATTCAAGTCCATTAACAGTGTTTAAGCTGCATGATAATGTACATATTATGTGCACGAAGTAAATACAAGGTAGAACTGGCACAGTAGTAGATGGAACCTGAATTCTGGTGTCATTCACATCGGTGTCTGAAAGTTGTGAATGCTCAGTAAGGCTGCAGAGGCATGTTGTGGGAAACTCAGCCTCTTCCTCATGTGCAGCAGTTTGTGAGTTCACGGTAATATGAATAGCAACAGTACCTTTCCATAAGATTACGTTAATGTGTTTTAAGTAAACATGGATTATTTTTTTTTTCCAGTCTAAACACAGCCAGCATTTTTCTTCCTTTAGAAACTTTATAGTATCTTCAGCGTGAATTTATAAATTAGCTTTCAGTCTTTATTATTATGTATCCAGATTTTAGAAAACTTTATGCATGTTTAATATCGCATTTTAAGGTCTTTGGTTTTTATATTTTTAATAGTAAGGTAAATAAAATGCTTGTCATTAATTAGATCACTGGTGTTGAAAAGTAGAACTCTCCCCTTACCTGTACCACAAGTACAGCACATATACAGCACATATTACCTCATATAGGTCTGCCAAACTTTTACTGCTTTGATGCATAACCTCCCTGTGCTCAACACTAAAGTAGAGAGCTAAATGTATGTACCCACTTGGGGTTTTTTATGTCTTGGATGACAAGACCAAAAGGGGTTCAGCTGACACTGGGGCTTTTTGCTTTCTTTAATATGTTATTCTTGTACGCTAAGCTTCAGACAAATCAGAATTCTTCAGCGGCAATGCAGAATTTTTATATGTGATAAAATAAAGGAGATACAGTGTACCATATTTTACCTTCATATGGGCAGCTTATAAGAGAACTTAATGACTCTGAATATACTGTATGAGCTTCCCATCTCTTTTCTCATTAATTTTCCCTTCTCTTTCATGGCATTCTGATAGATTAGGTTATGTTGCCAGGATACCGTGGAGCCTTTCTTGCCTTGCCTTCAAAAGTAGTTACTCTGGTTTTTAATTTGATCTTTTTTTTTTTTTTTTTCTTCTAGCGTACCCAAACATTATTGAAAGAATATAAAGAAAGGGAAAAGACAAATGTGTTTAAAGATAAACGTTTTGGTGAATATAACACCAAAATAAGTCCAGAGGAAAAGATGATCCGACGATTCACTTTGGAAAGACAGGTAAAGTATAGGAATTTAAAAAAAACAACCCACCGCCAAAAAAAATCCAAAAACCACAAGAAACACTTAAATTTTAGGTTGGGACTGTCCCCCTTAACAGGGTTTTGCAGGGTAATGCTTTCTTTTTGACTTTATATGTTTTGAACTTTTATGAAAAAGGAATTTTTTGAGGGAATTCAAAATTTTTCATGAAAACTTCCTGGTTTTGCAAGACAACTTTTTGAAGCAGAAATTTTCTTGTGCACTTTTCATCACTGGTGTGCGTGATAGCTGGTTCTAAGCACATTCATTGATTGATTGTTTTTCTTTGACTGCTTTGACTAATATGGTTTGGGAATTGAATTAGGAAAAGGCAACCTCCATCAAGTAACACTTTGAGATTCCAGTACAGCTGTTGAAGAGCAGCCATTTCATTTGCTGATTAGAAGAACTCTGCAACTTTCTGTCGTTCTGTAATATGAATTGTGTGTGTAGTACTGTTTTTTTTCTGCCTCATCATACTCAGTCTCCAAAATTGTGTAATACTATATTCTACTGATAATTAGTATAGGTTATAGTCTGTTTCATTAGGCCTGAAATGTAGTAATTAAGAATCAATATTACTGATATACAGAAAAAACTTACATGTCCTTGGGTTTTCTGAGTTACTCCATTTCTACATTAGTGTAAGAATACGAGAGAGATCATACTCCCTCACTTAAGGGTTAATATATTTGAGTGAAAGTATTAGTCTGGTAGTGCTCTTACTCCACTGTTCTGCTGGAGACCATAAGATATCTATTCCAGTGTTCTGCTGGAACAGAAGAGTAAGAATCTCCTTAACTAGCATTAAAAATACAGGCTTTATTAATTTATTCCCTGGGAACTAAAAAAAATCTATTTAATTGGTTTGTTTTACTATTTTTAGCAAAATTTTGGAAAGAAGAATATCTATAATCTTAATGAAGATGAAGAATTGACTCATTATGGCCAATCTTTGGCAGAAATTGAAAAACTAAATGATATTATCGATAGTGACAGTGACACTGAAGAAAGAGGAACGCTGTCAGGTAAGACATGTCAGATTGTATCCTACTGCTGGTTTTATTGTTGGTACGTGTACATCATTTGTTCAGTACTGTCTTTCAGAGAGAAAGAATATTATCTAATTGGTTGGGATGTTTAGGCCAGATTTGATTACTTCTTAACCACACACAAAGTTTTAGCAGATGTTAAGTTGGAACTACCTGCCTGGCAAACTTCTTTATTCTGTGCGCTTTTCAGCATACATAGGTACCTGTGTTTCGAGCCCTTGGGGCAGAATCTGAAGTATGAGTTTTCTGGTTGCTTTCTTGCACCCGTGCACCTAAATCCTAGTTAAAATATTGAAAAAAAACAAAACATGTTCCTACCTTGTACAAAACGTTTGTCCCTGTGAATTCTGTGTCTAGCATAAATCTCTTTTGGTATCACCATTCCCATAGGGATGGGAATAGTACATGATTGATTCAATAGTTTTAATTGCTCCCATTCTCAAAGAATAGGGGGATGTTGTCCCAGCAGCAGCAGCACTCATGTATGCATTTGAAAAGTATTCACAATCTACTTTTTTTTTTTTCTAGCTGAATTAACTGCTGCTCACTTTGGAGGGGGTGGAGGCCTCCTTCGTAAAAAAGCATCAAGTGGGCAGCAAGATGAAGAGAAAGAAAAACCTAAATCTAGGAAGGAACTCATAGAAGAGATGATAGCCAAATCTAAACAAGAAAAGGTGAGTTTTTAGCACTAAAGTGTAAATGAGCGTGATTAAGAAGCTGTCACAATTTCTGTCTTTGCAGAATAAAATAGCAGTAGCATAGAAAACAAAGGAGATGGCTGTCTAGGAGAAGAGCTGAAGCTCCTTGAATAAAGTCCATCTGACTTTGTAGGCATTTTAGGATATGCATTGAATATCTGCCATTCTTTTGTATCCCCAAATCTCCCCTTCTACTTGTTTTCTGTATGCAATCCTTGTGCCATTCAGTGTAAAGCTATAGTGCTGCTTCTACAAAGAATGTTTACACCTTTAAAATGTAAATATTTACAAGTATTCATTTGCTAAAGACAGCATTTTGGTTTTATGCTGTAAATGCTATATCATGTTCATCTGAGCATAACTGCTTCATTTGGTTTTGGTTTGGTTTTTTTTTCTAGCAAGAGAGGCAAACTCGGAGAGAAAGTGCATTAGAACTCACAGAAAAGCTTGACAGTGACTGGAAGGAAATCCAAACCCTTATTGCCTGCAAAACCCCAAAATCAGAAAGAAAGGATAAAGAAGTAGAAAAACCCAAGGTAAGGTTTTGGCTAGATTACTTTCTTTTGTTCTAATAACTTGTGGGTTTGACTTCTAGTGACTGAAGTGTAAGACAAAATTCATCACTTAGTAAAATAAAATGTTCTCCGATATCTACATTAGGGAATGCTACGGTTTTAGGACAGTTTGGTTAGTTGGAGGAGTATAGGAGTATAGTATATGATTTATCTGATTTTAATTATCTATCAAATCTGAGAGAGGTTGTAGGTTGAACAGCATTGTTGGCTACAGCTTACTTTTACGACAAATACATTTTCCTGAAGAATTAAAATAGTTGAGAACGTTGACTTAGTGTGAATTCCTTTTCAGTGTTCCTTGGATAAAACAACTTGACAACAAACGTTCCCTTGGTGTAAATTGGATACTGTTTCTACAAAAAGGGAATGAAAATATTTAACTTTTGAATAGATATCTTATGGTCACAGAGCTTTTTCTGTCATTCATATTTTACACTAAGGGAAATAAACTTTTAAATCTAAGGATAGGTATTGTAATGCATTGTGCTATTTTTTTTTCTTGTAGAAATTTTGTTATATTGCAGAGCTTTGTGAATTTCCATTTATTTCTTGGCAGTAGAATTCAGTTTTTGAAAGATTGAACTAAGGAACTGATCTTACGTTAAAACTGATCTCAAATAACAAGCAGAAGATACTGGATCAAAAGTTCATATTTTGATGTATTGATTTTTGTTTTTAAGATGTTTCATATATGCTGAATACTCAAGTTTGTTGGTAATGTGGTATCTTAGACAAAAATTTTGTCATCATAATTTGCTGAAAAGGAAGATCAGATCCCCTTCCTTCACATGTGTGGATCCAATGTAAGAATTATCAAGGATGCAAAGTGTGAATTAGTAATGCTTGATAACATTATCATTGAATTGCAGAAAAACATCTGGTCGCATGTAAGAAGAAAAATTCCTAGAACTGAATTTTAGAGAAGCTGTATGGTTGGTTTAGTGACTTAAGCAGATATCAAAAAGAGTCTCTTTGCAAGTCCAGTGTAATCTCTGCTAGTGACTGCTTTCCCAAGTGTGCTGCTTAAACTCACTGAACCTCAGCATCCCTTTTTTGTTTTCTTTAAGGTAAACATCTATGTAACTAAAATAACAAAGACTAAGCTTGTGTCTGACAGTATAAAGTGAAATGTAAACTATAAATTTATTAATTCTAGCTGTGTTTGAGAAAATGGTATTTTATTAATAAACAATATTTTAAAGTTTTTCCATTAATAAGTAAACCATTTGTTCTTTAAGATCCTAATTGTGAGTAACTTAAAGGGTGTGGGGTATTCCAGGAGAATGTCTATTCAAGTGTTCATTCCATTCCTTGACTTAATACTGAGTTGAATGTTCTTGCAGCTTTCTTTGGAAATGGTCTTTTCCTTATATCTTAACAGTCTTATTTCTTAGCTGTTAGTCTGGCAGAGGTGTGGCTGCAAAGCAGAATAATAAAACTTAAGATAATAAGCAATTATATAAATATTTCTTTAGCCTGATGAATATGATATGATTGTTCGAGAACTTGGATTCGAGATGAAAGCAAAACCTTCAGAAAGGATGAAGACAGAAGAAGAATTGGCAAAAGAGGAGCAGGCGCGACTCCAGAAGCTGGAGGTATACCACTTATGGTTTTAGATTGTTTTGTGGCCTGTCTTTTGGGAGTGAATGCTTATTTCATTGCTTGACCTTAGATTGAAAAGTGGCTGTACTAAACTGCAATTCATCAGAGGGGGAGTTCAGGAAATCTTCTGTTTGTGTTTTGTTTGCAATTTGATATTGCAACAAAAAACCATAGGCTTAGTATGTGACTAGTGAGGTTTATGAAATGAGTTTATTTTCTTCAGTAAAAATGTAGTATCACTTTGATTTCCCTTTAAATGTTTTAAATTATTCAGAGGTGCTTCTGAGTCAGTAAGGGGGAGCATCATGTTGCACAGCAGTTAAATAAATACATTGGCAAGTCATTTATTGTTTTCTTCTTGTGTTGCAAGACTCTTCCAGCGGTAGCATATATATAGCTTTGCTTTGCAGAGGAGTAGAATTCTCTTGGGAAATGTTGCATGGTCTTTCTGTTACCTGGAGCTCAGAGTCTTACAGAAAGAATGAATAATTTGATAAATGTTTCTCTCCTTTTCTTTTTTTTTTTTTTTTTTTTTGTATACTAGGGACACTTATAGGACCACAGGGATTCTGTACCTTCAGGTTGCCTCAGAACAGCTCAGTAGCTAATAGCAGAGCAGAAAGAAGGATTTATTTTCTTTTCTGTTCTTGTCATCTTGTTTGATGCACAGTCTCTCTGGTTGCCTGGGTGGAAATCCTTTTGTAAATGATTGGTTCAGATATTGCCCATTGACTCTATTTACAAATTTAGTGTGTCTTAAAAATCTTAGGATATGATTGTGTTTACTAAAAACTTGTTACACATATGGGAAACACAGATAAACACTGCAGAATGATAAAACACTTTGGAAGCTTACATTTTCTAGTAACGATGCATTGTCTTATAAGCAAAACAGATCAATTTTAAAATGAGAGAACATGATGCTTCTGGTAAAACCAGTTTCAAAGCTTTCCAAATAAGCTAATCCAATTGTGTATGGGCTCTTGTCAGATTGCAGTCCCCACAAAAATAAGGCATCGTCAGTTTTTGCCCATAATTTCTCAAGTTGGTGTTTTTTCTTTTCATCAACTTGTTGTGTAATCCCAGTTAACTATTTTTTTCTTTGATTTTCTTAGCCGTAGTATTTGAGGGTTCTTCCATTCTGGTGTAGTTACCTGATTGATCTAGATGGCTCACATCTGTGTGTGTTACTTCTTCTAAAACACAGGCAGATCGACTACGTCGAATGCGTGGAATAGATGAACAGGCGAATAAAAAGAAACCTACCCACGTGTCAGCTGATGATCTAGCTGATGGCTTTATCCTGGATAAAGATGACAGACGTTTATTGTCTTATAAGGTAAGGTTTAAAATTTCAGAATGTTCAGAGTTCTGAAAAGAAGATGGGAAAATCGGTTCGGAAATGATATCTGTGAAGACCTCTAGTCCAACCTCCTGCTCAAAGCAGGGTCAACTATGAAATCACCCGTTTGCTCAGGGCTTTAGTCAGCCTGTTCTTGGGAGGCTGCATATCACTCTGGGCAGCCTGTTCCACTGACTGTCCTTACCATGAAAAAGTTTCTCTTTATATCCAGTCTGAACATTTCTTGTTTCAACTTAGGCCTGTTGGTTCTCATTCTCCTGCTGTGGACTGTGATGAAGGCTGTTGCTCTGCCTTCTCAATGATCTCCTTTGTAGGTACTGGAAGGTGGTTTTCTGGTGCAGGCTGAACAAGCCCAGGTCTGCCTCTCCTCACAGGGCAGGTGCCCCAGCTCCTCAACAATCTTGGTGGCTTTCTGCTGAACTTGCTGCAGTTTATAGATGTCTTTATTGTATTTGAAGGCCCAAAACTGGACTCTATTCTGTGTAGTCTTACAAGTGTCAAGTAGAGAGGAATAGTTATTCCCCTTAATCCACTGACTATACTCCTGCTATTATAGTAGCCTGCTATGCTGTTAGCCTGCTGGGCTGAAGAGAGGGCTTTTGACCTTTGGGACTTTTTTTTTTTTTCATTTCTGCTGTATTTCACACAACTTCCAGCAAATTTCAGCCTGAGGATGAGTGGGTTTCTGAAAAAAACCTTCCCCTATGAAGTAACTTTGATTAAGGTGGCAGAGCAATATAACCCTAAAGCTGATGGAGTCAGTCACCCTGACTGTGGTGCACATATGTGCATACTGATCCTCTCATCTCTTACATGTAAGTAGCAAGGGAATTGCTGTTGCCCTCGGAGGGGACAATACAAATTGTGAATGTGAATTTAAACTGATGATTAATAAAATCATGATGGGAACAAATATTTATCTGATATGCTATTTTAATACATAGAAGGAATATATTTTTAACAAAGAATGCTTCTGTAAGTGATGTTCAATTTTTCATATCATCTGCTACTAGTTTTTTGCTTTTGTGCTGAGTCTTTTAGCCATCATACACTACCTCCTATTGTTTCTTACAGCCCCTTGGAAATACGCTACTATTCTTAAATCTGTATGCATATTCTCTCCTTAAAATCCCTTTTTAGCCAGCACTGCTGCCATTCACTGCTTGGTCAGGGTAGCAAGGCTCAGATCCTGTTCATGTGTATTTAATGATAGCTTTGCATGGTGGTTCTGGCGAGGTGCTGTTGCTTTCCCAGTGTTTTAACTGGCTTATTTTCGCTACTGACAGGATGGAAAAATTAATATTGAAAATGAAGAGGAGGAACAGCAAAAAGGTGAGGAGGAAGAGGAGGAAGAGGAAGGTGGGAAGGAAGATAATGAGAATGAAGAAGAAAGTGAGGAAGAATCTGCTAATGAAGATGAGGATGATGCTGCAGATAGCCACTCTGATCTTGAATCTGACCTTGAGAGTGAAGAAGAAGCAGCAGGGAATAAAGAACAGAAGAAACTCAAGACAAATGAAAATGAATCACAGAATGTGAAGGAACTAGATCCCAAAGTGGAAGCTGCCAAATCGGAGCTTCCATACACATTTGCTGGTAAGCAAAGCACTGATCCAGAGATCCCTGTTGTCTTCAGGCAGTTTATAACCAGTCTCTTTCTCTGCCCTGTAGGATCTTAAGTGTTCCTGTTCATCCATGAAGTTTTGCTTCATAGTTGTCTTCTGCTATTCCAAGAGTAGCCAGTAACTGCTGTTCTTGGTGACCAGCCCTAATCATGTTATGAGCAGTGGAAACCAGATCTGTTTCACCCCAGAGCTGTTTCTGCTCCTCTGAGCAGCCTTAGAATGGGAAAATAAATACTGGGGAGAAAAACAAAAAGATCTGTACTCCTTTCTGAAGGCTGCCAACACATCCAATCCAAAGTGTAAGCATTTTGCATAAAGGAAGCCAGAATAGTATTCTATTATCTATACTGAATGAGAAAAGGTTATTTTCTCTGGTGTTTGCATTAATATCAGAGAAGATGCTTGGAGAGGCAGGATTCTGAGCTTTAATCCCTCTGATGTAACATCACAGTATTGTTAAATAGAAACACTTACAGTTTGACTCCTTTTGGGTCTGTGCCTAGGAGGAAGGAGCAGGCACGTTTCAAGTAGTACACAAAACGTTCATTAATATGCAGTACATAATGCATCCAACTATTGTCCTAGTATAGATTCCTCTAACAAAAGTATCTGTCACAAGATTAAACAACCTTTCAAACAACTTCCTGGAGTGCTTGCATTTTTCCATCAAAAGGAGATAACTTATATTACACAAGGCCAATTAAATTGCATTCAGGTTTTGCTTTAAACAGAAAGCAGTCACATTAAAATAACTCAAAAAACTTAACCAGTTAGGGTGTTTTCTAGCATGTGAACTTAACACAAAAGTCTAAATACATGCCAGATCGGGTTTGGGTTTTTTTATTTTCTATTAGTGGCAAGATTCTTACTTTTCTTAATATGCTTCATACAAAGGCTAGGTAGGTGTGAATTAAACATAGAGCTGATTGTATTATGGTAAATTTATGGTTGAATTTATGTTTAGGTTTAATTCTGTTTTGTTTGTGTCAACAGAGCTGTCCTCAGCTTAGGCAGCAAATACAGGATGAATTGAATGTTAATCGTTGAAAAACATTTACGTTCTTTTGACTTATGTTCACATATACAATGTTACATATATGCTGATAAGTTATTAGTTTTTACAAGGTGATTATTTAAAAGCTGTATAGTATCTTTTTTCCGAATAATAACATTTTCAAATTGGAAGCTTGTTGGAAGTTCACTTGAATTAAATATGTTATGTTTCAGATTTTTGTCTGGTCAATTTTTGTTTTTACTTTCTAGTTCCTGAGTCCTATGAGACATTTAAGTCTTTATTGGCTGGAAGAACAATAGAACAACAGCTTATTATACTGGAGAGAATTCAGAAATGCAATCATCCAAGCCTTGCAGCGGGAAACAAAGCAAAGTTGGAAGTATGGGGTTTTGTTGTTTTGTTTTGAGGTTTAAAATTAACATTGAATTCCAGAGTAAGTTTTAGTATAAAACATACATGCTTCTATGTTGTGAATAGCAGTAGAATCAACATACCACTCTTCATTTTCTAACTTCTTTATCACTCTTCTGTTATGCTATTTAAGAATATGTACAATGAAAAAAAAACCCCTAATTATTTTAACACATTATGCTTCTTGCAGAAATTGTTTGGCTTCCTTTTGGAGTATATTGGGGAGTTAGCAACTCTGGATTTACCAGAGCTCAGAACAATTGACAAATTGGTCCTGTAAGTAATAAATCCTATAGACTTTTGCTCCTTTTTGTTTTAAAGATAAAAGCTACCTAGGGTAAAGCATTTAGCAAGTTGTTTGTTTTGAATAGTTCTGTAACAATTGTAGGCAACAAGTAACTCCAGCTCTGTAGTGTTTTAACTTTTTTTTTCATTTACTACTTGAGCTATTAATTGTACCTCAGAATGCAATTTTTCATCTGCAAAATGCTTTTCATCAGTAGTGGATAAATAATACCATAAATGGATGTAAACTTCTGTACATGAAGTTATTTAGACTTTTGATGAAGGTTTTTAAGCTTTGCAATGACAGCGTGCAGTTCCCTTTCCAATCTTTGTTTTGTCCATGGATTTCCATTCTCTGAATTCACTCATGGAACTAGATGAGAATGGAATTAAAGAGTGTTGTAGTAAACACATACAAAAGTTCCAAATAAACACTTTGCAGGAAGTTGTCAATTTGGAGTTGTTGTCTTCAAATACTTAACAGGCAGTTATAGTGACAAGAAAGCCAAATTTGTCTGAGGTGTACGGAGGAAGAGGAGACTCAATGGACACAGGCTGCAACAAGGGAAATGCCAATTAGATGTAAGGAAAAAAAATCTTCACAGCAAAGGTGCTGAACATTAAAACAGGTTTCCCAGAGAGGCTGTGGAATCTCCACCCTTGAAGATATGCAAGACTTGACAAAGCTGTGAGCAGCCTGATCCAGCTTTGAAGTTAGCCATGCTTTGAGCAGGGGTGTGCATCAGATGATTTCCAAAGGTCCCTTCCAACCAAAATTAGTCTGTGATTCCTGTCTTGACTTTGCAGGCTAGACAGCTTTCTTTCAGTGAGTTGTTTGTGTGTAGTTTTCAGCATGTATTTTTATTTCATGCTAAAGTAAGTAAGTTTTTAAAAAATCTGTTATGTGCAGCTTCAGCATTTGTTACTCTCTTGCATTTGTCAGCAAGAGCACTGACCCATTGATACTGTCGCTCGCATATGCTGGGGCTTTGTAAAAAAGTGTAAACACATTTTGATTGTTTTCTAGAACTGGGATTTATTAATATCACTACAGACATTTTTAACTGAAAATACTGGCAAAACTCTGACCAAACAGATGCAGGCTCCTGACTGCATCTCCCTGTAGGCACTAACTGTAGGCCAGGAGCTGACCTAACTTTGTGGGTACTACTTGTTCTCATTTTAAGTAATAATTTTGCTAATCTCATTGCTGCCTCACATGTTTAATGTTGCCTAAGAGTATTTAGAGTAGCAGGCTGCCTAGTATGTGCCTGCATACCTCAGTGCAATAAAATGTAGAGTTAGGAGATTCAGAAGGATATGTTTTAACCATAGCAGGTGATGTGCACATGTATTTTAAAGTTTTTAATCGTTTTTTATTTAAGATTTAGAAATCAGATTATCTCACAAGGGCCAAGGAAAAATACATATCTCTGTAAACCAAAAGTATTAGAATAATAATCTATATACTGGGTGGCTATTTCTACAAAAGAATAATTTGTTTCAGGGAATTTGTTTTTGTTATAATGTAGATGGAACACAAAAAAATTTCCTACAGGTGTTTAAAAATCAGGTTTTTATTAACATCAATGGTGTAACTTGATCATGACTTACATTTCTTGTTAATAGGCCATTGTACAATCTTTGCCAGATGTTTCCTGAGGCAGCCAGTGACAGTATTAAGTTTATCCTTCGAGACGCTGCACATGATATGGAAGAAGTAATTGAAGTCAAAGGCCGCGCAACATTTCCAGGTTTAGACACGGTAATGAATGCATACTGCTAGGAAAATATCTCGTTCTTTCCATTAGTACAGAAATGCCAGTAAATACGAGATGACATTAGATTACATTTTATATTTCAAACTGTATAATGAATTATTAGCATCTGTGACTTTTTCAGTTTCTTAGTATTTCAAATTGCCTCTCTGGAGATAAGTTGTAACAACAAAAACCCCACAACAACAAAAAAACCCCCAAGAAATAAACAACCCCCTCTGCACACATTCTTCAGAATTGAAGTGTGACTCTGTCATATTAATAAGGGAAAAAGATCTTAAAATTGCCACTGCAGTTTTCATAGCAGAACATTCTTTGTTCTCCTGATGAAACATGCTTGGGTAGTTCTAGGAAGAAGCGATATTGTCAGTTATGTCCTGATTTCCTTAATTGTGGTAAGTGCAAATGTTTAAAATAATGCTCCATAGAAGTGCACTATCTCCTTGGTTAACAAAAATAACAATGAAATATTGTTATGGGTATAAAAATACAACATTTCTTAGTAGTTTGTATATAGATAATTGCTAAATTGATGACTCTGAAAGAATTGACCTTTCCTCCTTATATAGGAATATTTAAAAATTTCAGTGGCCATGCCAAATGTGAGCAGACTCCTTTTCAGTGTCTAGGTAAATGGCTGTTAGGAATTCAAGACTGAGTGTATGGAAAATGAGTATTTGTTTATTGTAGTAAAAAGTTTCAAAGACAAACTGTAAGTCAGTATCCAAAGGGAGCTGCTTGTTTTCTGTCTCCCAGCTTGATGAAGTAGTGCTGCCTAATGGAATAGTTAGACTAGTGAAAGAAAATGGACTGAAGGATTTGCTTAGAAGATTTGGTTCTTACAGCTTGGAAAATATTTACATTGAGTTATTTTGAAGAGTCTTTATTCAGGATGTTTTGGATTTTGCAGGAAATGTATTGTAGAGAGCTTTTAACTTCTATTTTTATTTTGTCACTGTCACCCTTATGACACCAATCACACTTCTAACTTTCATTCCCCTCAGGGGACTTTTTCAGGTTTCAAGCCATCATCTTTTAGGGTGGAATTATATTACTCTCCTATTCTCAAAGCACTTGTTTGAATGAACGCTCCTTAGCCCAGTTGTGTTAGTAGACCTTATATGTGCCTATAGTTAATCTAACCTGAAATTTGGACTGTGGTATTTAGTAACCAAAACAGTCAGGAGTATATTTGTTCATGACAGAAACTTCATGGAGAGAAACAGAGCTGAAACAACAGAACCTTATTTGCATCTAGCATTCTATCTAAATAGCCACTTAGATAATTTTCAGAGTTACCTTGCAAGTGATGTTTAACATGCTTATGGTCTTGACAGGAGGTCACTTCTAGCTCTCTAACAAGTCGCTTCAGTAAAAGTGTACCTAACCGCTGGGATGCAACCATTTTATAAGTTGATGTGTGCTAGTGCCTAAGGATCCTGGTCACTTAATTGTCGGTGTTGAGGACCTGTTGAAAGGTGTCACAGGTCCTGTGTGGCCATATGCTGCTTTATGTGTGCTGTGTGAGTGTGTGATTGTGGTGGGCTGAAGGGGGGCAGATTTCTTTACAGAATAAATGGAGTTGGAGGCATAGTTCCTTCTTGGTTGTTCTTTCAGTTGCCTCATTGCATTAATTCAATGTTAGACCTATAATGGATATTCCATTTTCTCATGTAACGTAAACAGTCATCTCAATAAATAGGTCATGTAGTGTATCAGATTTCTCAAAATTATGTATATTGTAGTATTTTTAGACTACTACATGGCAGTTACTCATTTGTCAGTTACATATGCGTAAAGTCAAGATCCTGGGAATAATGTCTTACTTTATTTTGCCTGACTCTGTTTTGCTATCAGCTTATTTATTTGAAAATTACATCTCTGCTGTTTCCAACTTCTGACTTCTGGCATCCAGTTGTAACACCTACTTTTATGTACATGAGTCAGCTACTTACTAAGGTATGTCTATGATGTTGTATCTAAGTACATAACTTCATTTCCTTGTTTCTTCTTAGGACTCCCAAATATATGTGTTAGCATTAATGTATATGTTGGAAATGTACTGAAAAAGCAGCTTTGGGTTTGGTATAGTCACAGATAGTAATTGGAAGAAAAAGTGAAGAGGAGAAAACTATTGCAGAGTGCAGTCCAGCCAAAACCATATCTAATAATTTTTTCAAGCTGTCACACAATAATTCCTTACACAGAAAATTACATAGGACTAACAGAATAGACTGAATACAGTCTGAAATAATTCCTTAGTGATTTCTGCTCTGTACATTGCATTTGTTCCTGCTTAAGAACAGTATTTCTTAAAAATCAGCAGTATTTGTTTTCCTTGAAAATGTACCCAATGCAATGCATTGCAGTGCAGTTAAAATATGTCCTTATTTTTCTATCCAAATATCCTGTTTACGTGTTTCAAAAGTCTTGAGCTAGTTGTTCTATTGCTGTCAGACATCCAAGCTGCTCTGAGCCTTATATTTCCTTGGTTAATTTCTGAAGAACTTATTGTTTGCGGTTTAGCACCTTCTAGTGGCTAAAACAGTTCTGACAGACTTCTTACTCAATTCTGCATAAACCCTTTAGCGAGGGCAAAAGGAAAGGCAATATGTTTTTCATGTAAGTCCAAAGGATGTAATTTTACAGATTTTAAATGTGTACAACTTATTTAATATTTCCACTTTTTGGGTGATCCTGTATTTGTGATGTGTAGACTTCTAATTGTTAATATTTTGTGCTTTTTTTTTTCCTTTTAGTGTCGCATCACAACATTGCAAGATGTTATTAAAGGCTTATTCATATGCTGTTTGTTCCTGGAATATGTATCTCTTTCCAGAAGATTTGTACCAGAACTCATCAGTTTTCTTCTTGGAGTACTTCATATATCTCTACCAAAAAACCAGGCCCAGGGTGAGTTTTTTTGGAGTAAATGAGTAACAAATTTTAGTATTAGGGTTTTATCTTTTAAATTTCAATAAAAATACATCACACTGAAATTACCATTTTAAACAAAAGATCAAAATAATCTGCTATGTTAGCCATACAGAACCTTGATTCTTGGGCATCTCATTATGAACTAGATCCTCTAGTGTTGTTGTCAGGAATGACAGGAATAACTGAAGTTATTAAAGGAAATGAAGTCATGTTGCCCACAATGCCGTGTTTTTGCAATATTGTCTTTCTAAATAGACTGTGTGATTGGAGACTGTGCTCTGAAATTCACAGTCCCTAACAGATTTCTGATGAGTACCCTGTATCTTCACAGTGAAGCAGCAGCTAATGCTTGCAGATACCCTCCCTCTTCAGCTAATAGTCATAACACCAAGATAAATGAGAGAAGTATATCACAAAACTGCTATTTTATTTATTTGACATGGATTTGTTGTAGCGTAACAGAGGGCAGCTATACCCACAAGCAGGATTATTCCGTGCTGTAACATAACTGTGTAAACTGAGCAACTTGCACAGACAACAGGGAGAATAAAACTATCTTTTCAATTTGACCCATGTGCTAGCAAATTATTTCTATTTGTTAGTCTTCCTCTTTATTTTATTTTTTTTCTTTTGGATTAATTTCTAGCTTTAAAGCTACTCTAGATCTGGAGCTTTTTTGCTGACAATTTTAGTGACAGTAATTCACTTGGAAGTTTTGTGAGAGCATAGTAACTAATTCCACGTGTTAGTATCTCTCTCTGGGTCACTCTGAGCATCACCTAGCATGCATGAAGAGACTGCAGGCAGGATATTCTGAAGTGAAAAATTCAGTTATTTTTTGGCAAACTCAAAAGACATCTGGCATTTTATGAGCTACAGGCTACATATTAATGTGCTCATCACTCTTGATAAGACACCTGAAAAGTCTCTGTTCTCTAGGTAGTCATCATTCTGGTGAGGAAGGTTCAGCTTGTGTTGCTGCAGTATTCCAGTACATCTTCAGTAGTACTGAGTTGTTGGCTTGCAGCTCCCCTTTTTTTTTTTTTTCCTTTTAGGATTTTTATGCCTTTCCATGTTGGCATTTTTTCTCTTTTGAATTCTTGAGCTACTAATGATCCCTTTCTTAACAAGCTTAGCACTGCAGTTTCACCTTTATTATCTTGTATTGCTGTACCCTACAGACTTTCTCCCAGCTGCTTCTCACAGCTTAGCAGTTTCCTCTGAAGTGTGAGCCAAGGTTACACAGCTGGGGTGCATCAGAGCTAAGCCCTGGATTCTCAGAACACAGACAGCTGAACTCTTAGAAGGAGGTGGGAAGAGGTTATGGAGTGGGTGGGTTACGTAGCACTTAAAGTATTTTCTCCTTTGTGTAATCTCTTAGGAATGTTTGATCTACAAAGGTTTCTGGTACAGTTAAAATATAGGATTCTGCAAAATCAGATAAGAAACTATTTTAAAGTATTTAGTGGTAATTGATTATCAAGTGTTAACTTTTTAAAATTTCCTTTGTATTTCTGTTAATGATTTTGCACTAGTTAAATTTGCATGGTGTAGGTTTCTGTTAGCAGTGAGGAAAAGCTCTACTATGTTAGAGGTACAGTGTTCTCCTTGAGAATTTTTCAGTCAGTATTGATTTTTTGAACTGACAAAGTACCAGTGATGTTTTTAAATATTCACGGTGGAAGTATTGCTGATGAATGTGATGGTTAGGCTGTCAACATGTAATATTTTAAAATGAGCACACATCCAGTTCTCTGGAATGTTGTTACACTGTCAACACCAAAAAATTTCTTGGGGTTCAGTTTTGACAGTGAGTAGAATCAGCAAATAGATCTCTTAATGTTTGAATTTTATGATCTTGATCCATGATTTCTCACATGAAGAAATTATATGGAATACAACTTCATAGAAGACTGAAATACAGTCTGCTTTCGACTTAAGTCAATTATTGCCTTAAAAAAGGAGAAAAGCTGGAGGTGGAGGGAGTGGGAAGGAATTGTCATTGTTGCTAGCCTTAGCTAGTGGAATTATTAATGAGATCTGCTATCCTCTTATAATTGAAGCAGGTAATAAAACTCATGTATCTTAGTTCCTGATCTTGCATATATCTGCGTGTGTCATAATGTCTCACAACTTTAGGTCTCAAACCTTAATGAATCATTATTTAAACATACTGTCTCCTGGCCTGTCTGTAAAGAGCCATATACAAGTTCTAGAGCATGTAAATAATCTTAACTTACAGTTTGAAAAAGTTTTTAAATAAGTTCCACTGCAAGCTTGCAGGATGTAAGGAAAACAAAGAAGAAGAAAAAAAAACAAGTCCAGCACAGAGGCTGCAAATACTTTTTTTCCCTTAGCCATGAAATACCTCAGATGTTTCTTTCATGTTGCTCTATAAGTACCATTTCACAGATCAGCTTATGATCAGAAGCAGAGTGATTCTTAAAGCATTTTCTGTATGCTGTGCCCCAGTATATGTATTCTGTGTTCCATGCCATTCTTGTTTTAAAACTGCTTAGCTGGAGTGGGAGAAGACTTTACAGCATGTATTTGAGGGCCCCTGCTGAAAGGTCTTGGGGGAGGCTTTGGGATTGCCCAGACCCATGTGCAGGACCATACACTTGGCCTTGTTGAACTTCATGAGGTTCGCACGGGCCCACCTCTCAAGCCTGTCCAGGTTCCTCTGGATGGCATCCCTTCCTCATAGAGTATCAACCACACCACTCAGCTTGGTGTCATCAGCAAACTTGCTGAGGATGGGCTCAAACCCATTGTCCATATCCCCAACAAAGTTGTTATAGTACTGGTCCCAATACAGACCCCTGATGGAGCCCACTCGTCACTGGTCGTCACCTGGACACCAAGCTCTTCATGGCAACTCTTGAGTGCAAACATCCAGCCAATTCCCTATCCACCAAGTGGTCCATCCATGTGTCTCAAATTTAGAGACAAGGATGTTGTGCAGGACAGTGTCAAATGCATTGCACAAGTCCAGGCAGATGATGTCAGTTGCTCTTCCCTTATCTACCAATGCTATAACCCCATCATAGAAGGCCAAATTTGCCAGGCACAATTTGCCCTTAGTGAAGCCATGTTGGCTGTCACCAATCACCTTCTTATTTTCCATGTGCCTTAGCATAGTGTCCAGGAGGATCTGCTCTATGATCTTGCTGGGCACAGAAGTGAGATTGACTGGCCTGTAGTTCCCCAAGACTTCCTTTTTTCCCTTTTGAAAAATTAGGATTATTTTTTCCCTTTTCTAGTCACTGGGAACTTTACCAGTCTGCCACAACTTTTCAAATGTGGTGGATAGTAGCTTAGCAACTTCATCCACCAGTTCCCTCGGGGCGTGCAGATGCATCTCACCGGGTCCCATGGACTTGTGCACCTTCAGGTTCCTTAGATGGTCTTGAACCTGATCTTCTCCTATGGTGGGTGATTCTTCATTCTCCCAGTCCCTGCCTTTGGATTCTGTGAATTGGGCAGCATGGCTAGAATGCTTACCTATGATTGTACCCATGTTCCAGTGTTTTCCATTATTTCAGAAAAACATAATACTGATAAAGTATTTTCTAAGGCAGCATGATTAAAAACGTAAAAAGAGTTCTTAGTTTTTATTCCTTCAGAAAGAATGCTTGGAATGGATCTCGTTTATTGATTATTGTTCTTGGGTTTTAGGCTATACTGTAGTGCATCCATTTACACCAGTGGGGAAAAATTTAGAACTGCTTTTGGTGCGTGAAAAGAAGGATCTGGAAAGTTGGCAGAAGCAAAATCTGCCATTGAGTATTGTGACTAAGTTGAAGGAAACCAGCAGAACAGAAATGAATCACATCAGGTACGTAGGGAATGTGAACAGAAGAAATCTCAAACAGACCGTCTTTTGGGTAATCTCAGTGACTGTGCTCTTCAGGAGTAAAAATAGAAATAGTGAGTTGTTCTGCTTTATTTTTATGGTACTACTCTGTAGCACATGAAACTACTCATCTTTTGCCAGAACATTATGCAGAGCACTTGTTGGAGTGCTGAGCCCTTCCATTCCTTTTTGGCACAGCTCTGAACTGTTGAGGATGATGTAGAGACAGAGGTGCTCACTACTTCGAACTGTCAGGCTCCTCAGAAGCAAATAACTGTATTTACATACAAACACTATGTTACAAAGTGTCACTTAAGTAATAAAACACTGAAGTTAGGGAAGACCATGATTAAACATGTTCATTAACCATGTTCAGCCTCATTTTTCACCTTGTGCATGCGTTACAGTACAACTTATTTCTGGGATGAGTAAGCATTTTGTTATGGAGTTCAAAAAGAAACCCCAAACCAAAATAACTAATTCTGTTCCAAAAAAGTTTTAGACATTCAGAACCAGGACACTTTTAGAACCAGTATAAAAACTTCTTACTCTACAGAAGTGGCAAAGACAGGACACTGTCTTGTGCTGTGTGCACTGACAAAGATTTGTTACTAATGGATTTCTTGGGTATTTGCCTATAGTAGAAGAGTGAAATTTTTAGTCTGAATTAACAACCAGAAACAGCCTTGTAACTGATTCTGTCAAGCAGCCTTAATAAGAAATACTGCTAATGCTCCCAAATGTAATCAATTTGATTAATTTTTATTTGAAAATCCATTACAGTTTTTGCAAGTGAAATTGTTAAATCCTTTTGTGCATTAACAGGCTATCATGTCTAGCCCTGTGTTTTGACCTTATTAAAAAATGTGCAGCTCTGTATGAATCTTTACCATCATTCCGTGAAATAATGCATCCTGTCAGAATACTTCTTACACAACATGTGCCAGTGAATGAATATCCTGAACAAATGCAGGTATGTGTTCCTAAAGAACAAAATAATTGACATGATTGTTTTATTAGTAAGTTATGTGATCTTCCTCTGTGCTTAAACAAACAAAAACCAAGTATAAGCATCAGTGAGATTTTTTTCTAAGGGTCAGGCATTTGGCTTTTGTGCTCTTCAAAAACCACAGTGATGTTTCTGTGGAAAAACCAAGCAAGAGCGTGGAATGTTTAGAAAAGCTAGTTTTTTCCACTGTGTATCTTATCTTGCCCCTCTGATTGAAGACAATAGTACTTAGCTTGTAATAAGGTAACATTCCAAGAGTGACTTAATTTATAGGAATAGCAGTCCAGTCATCCAGTTGCTGTTGTACTTTTGTAATGAATCTGTAAGACGTTGGTACAACCAAGTACGTATAGCAAATTGATGAGGTAGTACTTACAATTGTAAGTAAAACTAACATAAATATGCCTGGTCAGCTACCTTACTTAAAACAAGGCAGTTTTTGTATTTTTCTAGCAATGAGGTTCACGTTTTTAAGTTGTCTCTTCTGAATCTAGCAGAATTGTCCTCTCCTCAGCAAGGTATCATGAAACAACATTAGAGAACAAGTTTTTTTAAGGTAAATGATGGAAAATGGCCTATATTTTTTGCCATCAAAATAAGCAAAATGACCAATCATTCTTAAAATGACCCTGAAAGGCAGAGTCTGAGTTAAACTGGCTTTAATCTTGCTTCTTCCTCTGTTAGGTGAAACCACCTGAAGACCTTTCTTATTGTCCATGATACCATCTTAATAGACTGCCAAAAGCGTTTAAAAATTATCCAGCCTGGAAGGCTTACAGCACTCCAGTGTTAGCAATGTCCTAATGAATAGCAGGGATTTTACATAGAAAAAAAGAACATATGGGGAGAACATTACTGTTGATTAAATTTACAGTAGTTTGTGCATCATGGTGTCTTCGATATGCTTTTAAAATTGTAATTTGATTTGCATTTTCAGGAGTGGTATCATGCTGCTCTGAAAGAGCTAGAGAACAAAGTAACACGCTATACCCCACTGATATGTGAGAAAAAGAAGCCAGTGCCATTGAAACAGTACACACCTAAAATTGTGAAAGTGTAAGTAAAGCAACACTTGATGCAAAGGAAAAGTTCATTTAAACATTAAGATTTTCAGCGTTAGAAGGATTTGGAAAACAGGACATAAACCAGATAACTGTTTCTGCTAGATTTTGTGCACAAATCACAAGGGAGCAGCCACTTGTGTGGTGGGGAAGGAAAGAAAAAGGAAGGAGAATTTCTAAGAAATAGAGCAGATTATCTTCTGGAAAAAGTAGCACTGGAAATCAATGCTTGCCCATATAATCAATTTTAAATTAATACATTTCAAGATGAAAAGAGGTGGGTGTTATTATCTAGTCAGGTGCTTTACCAAATGCTCTGTCAAGCACTCAAGTCTGAAGAACAGCAGTGATTCGTTCTTACGTATTATGAACTACAGGAAGGTAAGGATGCGTGGTGACGGTACTGAGGGATGCTTCACCAGTGCAAAAAGATAAGGCAGGCTATTCCTGTTCCTGCATCATAGATTATTATAATCTGTCAGATGAAGCATTCCTTTAAGCATACTTATGTGCCCCATTACTCTCTTTCCCCCAACCAAGCAGCTTTCCACCTTCCAACAGTAGCAATGACAAAAAATGTGGGGTGTTTTTCCCCTTTTTTACAGAGCTTGTAATGATAATGTACATTTTTGTATTCTGTTTTGGAATTAAATTTTAATAACACTAGTTTGGTTTTGTAGATAATAGAACAGTGTTCTGATTCAGGAAGTCTGTCTTACATTGGCTGCTGACTTATTTAGCCGTGTTGGTTATCTACAGGGGTATAAATTGTCTTCCTTATTTGTTCTGGTAATTGAAGAGGACAGCTTTCCTCTGCCGTACACATTTATCCCCAATTAACTGATCAGACTTTTTCTGTAGAACTCACCTGCAGAGAAGGTCTGCAAAAACTTAAAATACATTGGGAGATTCCATATTTCTCCAGACATCTTTCATTCTTCTACTCTAGCTTTTTCAGTCTGTTCAAAATGCAGGCTACACATGGGGGATTGAAGTGTAAATGTCTGTTTGTCATTTGCATGATGATGACATGAAGTTAAAAGGTCTGGTGAGCGTTTTTCCAGTCTGTTCACTGGGCAGCTTCTTACTTTGCCAGTTAATCATACAGTATGCAGAACTAAAATACTGAGTTTCATATTCATACAAAAACTCACTCCTGATAAGCATGAAAAAGTTGTTTTTGTTAAGGTGCTCACACATAACGTTCTCATTTCAGTTTAGAGTTTGGAAGAAAGCAGGCAGGGAGTAAGAAGGAGCAAGAAAGAAAGCAGTTGATTCAGAAGCATAAACGTGAACTTAAAGGAGCCATTCGTGAAATTCGGAAAGATAACCAGTTTCTGGCTAGAATGCGACTTTCAGAAATCATGGAGAGGTAATGTAGCCTTTGTTTCAGCACCAGTTTGAGAGCTGTTCTGCTGTGTGTTCATTTCTTTGCTGTGTCCCAGGACTGACAATATTGGTCAACCATACTGAACTTAAATAAATAAAATTGGACAATTTGGGGGAAAACAAACATTTTCAGTAGAGATCATTTAAAGTGTTTTCAACTTTGCAGTTTCATTTCTGTAGCAAGAATATGCAGAATGTTTTTATTTAAAGTGCGTGTTGGTGAAATTTAAGAGTTGGGGGGCTTTTTATAAATTAATAATTGTTGTCCAAATATACTTACTTATTTTCCCTAATACAATCTTTCTGAAATATTTTATATGTTGATTGATTGTTTTACAGAGATTCAGCCAGAAAAAGAAAAGTGAAGGAGCTTCTTGGTAGCCTTGCTACACAGGAAGGTGAATGGAAAGCAATGAAAAGGAAAAAAGGGAAGAATTAATTGGGACTATCTACAGCAGGAAACTTGATTTTTACTGCCATATAAAATATCCCAGTCCTATGGCTTTTGAACAGATTTTAATTGCATTCTTTGGATGCATTCCTTTTGAGAAGACAACATCATCAGATCTGCCTGAAAAGGTGAACCCACTTATTGGAAAAATCCACAGGTTTTGATAAGGAAAATAAAAATAACACTTTTGTATGTGGTATACTTCTGTTTACTTTAATAATAGAGAGTATTTGGATGAATAATCAGAATTCTTGGTTGTGTGTGACCAGGTTTTAGTCTAACTTGAACTACACACACCCCAGAAATTGTATAGCAGAAACCTTTTGTTATCTTTTTTAATACTGAATAATTGCAGGCAGCTCTCATAGTGGTAGTAAATTTGCAATTTAAGCAGTAACATTTTAATTAGTCTGTAGCATTGGGACATTCTAATGCATGTATTCAGTGGAGTAATGGAACTGGCTTTCAAACACAAGTCCTTTGTTAAAGCTGTACGTCCATTTATCTCTTCAGTAAGTTTTGAATTGAGCACAGCTCTGAAATTCTTTAAATCTAGGCTGGTTAACTAGAATTCCTCAGGGTATTTGTAACTGTCTGACTTAAGTGGACAGCAAAATCCTTAACTCTCTTCCACGTATTTTATAATGTATGCCTAATTACAGATAACTGCCCGGCATGATTTTGGAAAATATCTGCCCTTCAAATAGAGCCAATAAATACTTCTAACTTTTTTTTATACTATGTTTGTGAAGAAACATTGCAATGAGACCCAGAGCATCACAGTTATTTAAAAGTGCTAGTCTGAACTAGGTTCACTATTCAGGTGTTCACCATAACCTACTTATCAAATAAGTTCGATGACAGTTGTTACACACTGAAGAAAATTGTTATATTTTCTTGGAAAACTCTTGGGAAAATTAAATCCCCTTTCACAAAACATTCCAGTTTCAGTCTAGAGAGCAAATTATAAAGAACATCCTGTAAAGAACGAACTAATGGCCATGGTTGTTTACAAAAACAAACAAACAAACCCCCCAAACCTCTTCCATTTTCAAAAAATGTTCCTAGATCTGATCTCTTGTGTTTTGGACAATAGGTAACTCAGACATGGTAATGCTGACCTACTGTTCATGAAGAAAGACTTAAGCACTGACAGTAAATCTGATAAAACAGTTAGGCTTCGTTGTTTCAGACTGGTTTAGAATGTTTCCTTTGTTCTGTGGGTTTTTGGGAAAACAAATACATTTTCAGTTAACCTTTCCAAAATCAGTAAAGGCATCTTCTGAAACTTCAAAGGCATCTCAGTATACCTCCTGTTTTATTTCCATTTGGCACAGTATGGATTTTTTTTCTTCTTTAAAAAGAAGGTTTAACTTCAACATTTTTTGTATAGTTCAAGCCAAGAACTTAAGTCTGAAGTAGTGAGGAAGGAGCTAACTTCCTATTTCTTGATACAAATCAGCACTTTCAGTTTGGGGTTTTAGTCCTGGTATATTTCTCCTTTGCAATAATAAACTGTCAAAGAAGTATTGTTTATTTATCTGACACTATTTTTCCAATAGCAAGTAGCTTCAGAGGATTTACCCAGCAGGGTATTAGAACCACAGAGAGGCTGACAGCTGCACTTGGATTCTTCGGCAGTGATTTTTGATACCCCTTGCAGCTTGTTATTCCTCAATAAGGGAGGTAAGAAAGAAGTAAAGGAGACATACGAGTAAGATGGGTTGATAGTGTTTGTGGAAGAGGGTATTTTGGGGGACAAGAGAATGAGAAGGGATATCTTGCAATACCAATGAAAAAAAGATAAAGGACAGGGAAACCTCAGTTGGTTAACTTGCATGACTCTTGGAATGCAAGACTGAAAGTAGTTGTGTTTGAAATAGTGCCAAATTAAAATTGGCACATGTGTTTTTGCAAATTGTATTGTCAGTATTTAAAATCAGATTTAATATAAACCTGAGACTAATGGTGATACATAACATGTAGTATTTTACATGACTAGAAAAGCAGGACTACCTAGTCTCATTGCAGCTTAATAACCAATACGGTCTGATGGTTTTGCCATTGCCTAGCTAGCAGAGTAGCTAGGCAGTAGTGGTGCTCTGAGATCGTAGAAGGTGACACAAAGGTCTCAGCATTCAGACTACGAAGGGCTTGGACAAGCTTGAGAGTCAGCAAAACCTTTCTCGTAGAGTTTCTTGAACACAATCATGTTCACTGATTATTCTCTTGTCTTTGTGTTGCTCTTGAACCAGGAATTGTCATAAGAGGCCTTTTGACACGTCTGTTATCAATTATAAATGTTATTAATTAGCCAAAAAAAGAAAATATTCTGTAACTACAATCCACTCATGAGACACAAAAAAGGAAAATTACCATTGTGCCTTTAGTTCAGCTGACTGTTCAAGGTAATTTATCTGTCAACATCAGCTATCCCAGCGAATGGCTACCCTGAATATGAATACTGTAAAGAATAGGGCGAGAATAAAACTGGTTTTGTGTAAGTTACCGTATTTAAGACAGCATGAAAAGCTTCCTCTTTAGTTTGGTCTTCTGGTTGTGGGTTGAAAGCTCATATGCAGTTTGATACTCTCAGTCATGCCTTGCAGAAGTTACCATCTACCATGGTGTAACGATATTCTGTGTAAGCCGTCAGCTTGTGCTGTATGGAGGTAGCGAGGCTGCTCCTGAGCTCAGCAGGTAGGGTTCATCGTGAAGCAAAAATGGAGCTCTGTTGGGCAGAGGCTGGTGTCTCCAGTACAGCTATAGGAACTGGTAGGGCTGCTTTCCTCTTAACATGCCTTCTGGACATTTGGAGAAGATAAACAAAAGCTACAACATTTATCATAACTCAGAGACTGTGAGGTCTTACATGTTCAGGGGGCGAAAACCTTCCCACACGTGTGCTTCTCTTTGTCTCCAAGCTTGTCACCTAAGCTAAGCGGGTACATTCTCAGTCCTAAATGTATTGGCTGTGCCATCTTGCGTAGTTAAAATAGCTGGCTAGTTGTAAGGGTTTGTTCGGGGTTTTTTTCAATTTTTTAGCGAACCTTGTGTAATCGTTTGGTTTTCAGAGTATCTACCACTTTCTTTCCTCACACCAAACTTGAGTACATAAAATGCTCAGGTAAACATAAAATGCTCAGGTAAACATGAGAGTAGCAGCTCACAGACCTAACTAGCACATTAATCCTGATGTTACGCTTAGATAAGCTCCTCTGAATGTAATCGGTTGGGGAATCCATGACAGAGATGTCACTGTTGAGTGAAAGGTCCTCATCTAAGAGTTAATCACCATAAATCCACACCACTGGTGGGCCTGTATTACCTTGAAAGGAACCAAGTCCTGTCAACACCTGTATGTAATGGCCTCCCACCCTTGGCAGGCAGACACTCACGTATTTTAAGACTATGAAGATGCACGTGCTGAGTCTGCTTATAACCATTTAATTTGGTTATACCATTTAATTTTTTAAACCATCCATTTAATTGGGCAGCTTGGATACCAGACATGGCTGGACAAGAGAACAATGCTAACCGTGCTATTCATGTTCTCTGTGCTAAAAAACTTAACTGGTTTAAGGGGGCAGTTTGTTCTAGGAATGGAGTTACATCTTTTGCAACTACCTTTTCCTGTTTGTCGGATACCAGGAAATTTTCATTTATCAAAACCGCAGCTAACTGCTGCTGTAACGTGCCTATGTAGCAAGTGTGACTTCATAAAAAAAAAAAAAAAAAAAAAAAGTGTTTAACGCGGGAAGGAACGGCTGTGGTTTGAGGTACGAGATACCCAGTTAAACCGCTCAATTAAGGACCGAGGCCATCTTGACAGGGCCCTTCCCTCGGTCTGGGTGTTAAGCCCCTCTCGGCTGCCGGGCCCTGCCTCGCC